GGTTTTTGCCTTAGTTAATTCTAAGCCCCGGGTCGGGTCGTGACATGATGTTCGCATATGCATGTATATACACGAATAGCTGTGTCGTCTCCTCTGTCGCTGTCGGTTGAACCATCTGCTTTGAAGGTCTTATACTCTCATTCAATATTGTTCAAACATCTACTACATTTATGTACACTCGATCATTGCTTTGCCTCTGACTCTTCGTTCGGATTTTCCAATCGAGATCATTGTTTTGTCTTCTCACAATCAAGATTGCAGTGACACTGTTGTCACTGGATTTAACCAATTTATTTAGCCATTTCAATGTCTCTCCAGAATTAATCTATTGGCATCTTTCACGTAGTGATATTGATTTTACTAGTTCGGATAAAAATCAATTAAATGTCTTTCCTGAAGCATATGAATATCGCTTAGGGTAGTCAATATCATAAGTTATTTGTGATTTACCAAAGTTTTGTTTATAAGATAAGAAATGTGTTGAGGAGGTTATTGAGTTGCGGGAGTAAATTACAAATGATATTATTTATTTTTTATTATTTATTTATGTATAATTTTTTGTGAAAATGCTTATTGTAATGACTCTTTATCCCTATGACAATCAATATCATAAGTTATGTGTGATTTAACCGAGTTTTGTTCACAAGATGAGAAATGTGCCGAGGAGATGATTGAGTTGCGAGAGTAAATTACAAATGATGTTGTTTGTTAATTTTTTTTATTTATGTATAATTTGTTGTGAAAATATTTATTCTAATGAGTCTTTATGCAATGACATTCATGTGGAATCTCTATCAATTGAATTTTTTTCATTCTTTCAACATGTATTTTATCTCACTTGGATGGCCTCTTAGATAATTGTGGGTGTAATATAAGTTATTTCTTTTCATGTTTTTTTTTTTTATTTGGAGGTCTATAATGAGATATACTGCCTTAGGGGCTTTTTTGGATGGCCTTTATATAGCTATAAATCTTGACATATAGGAGATCGTTATCAACACAACCAAGATCCCCTTTTTTTTCAGTAATATTCTTGTTGAGGGTTCTTCTGAAGGGTTTTTGTGGCGATATGCTTCTGTGACATATACGTGCTCAATATTATATGATTTAAAGATAAACCAAAATTCCCTTTCTTTAATGTCTTTTGTCTTCTTATAATGACGAATTATTTGTAGTTTTATATCGGTTTTGACACCTTGCAGTTTTATAAATCTTTAATCATGTATTTTTATTACTCTTATTAGTTAATTTTTCATATAAAAATATTCTTGTACTATTAAGATAAGCTAATTTTATATTTTTGATTTTTAACTTTCAGAAAATGAGCTTGAGAATTTCTGGTGCCTTTTGAGTCTTGTATTGTAACTGTGGATTGCATTATTCTCTGCTTACATCACTAATAGAGAATAGTTTTGAGAGAAAATTTTAAAGGTGTCCAAGGAATTGATGAGTGAAGAAATGAAGTACTGTGACTTCCTTAGGTGAGCAGATAAGTCTGATGATTCTATATTAGATAGTGATCAGGCGTGTAGGGTTGTCAAAAAAGTTCATTGTTTGCAAACAACTCATGTTTGACTGGCTGAGTAGCTCGTGTTCTTTTCATTGCTTAAGAAAACAAGTTGTGCATGAATAGATTTCTTCAGCTCGATTTATAAACGTGCTGCTATCAAATAAACTTTTGTTCGATCATGTTCGGCTCGTATTGGTTCTAATTAATTAATAATAAATAAATAATATAGAAAAGTTAAATTAATGATATATTTGATATGACTATGGCTATTAAAAAACTCGTTCGCAAACAGCTCGTGTTTGATTTGCTAAGTAGCTCGTGTTCGACTTGCTAAGTAGCTCGTGTTCGATTTGTTCGTTAAGAATATGAGTCGAACATGAACAAATTTTTTAAGCTCGTGTTCAATTCGTTCGTTAAGAATACGAGCCAAAAATAAGCCTTTGGCTCACTCGAGTTCAACTTGTTTACACCCCTACTAGTGTGGAATGTCTTTGGAGAAGAAATTATCTCTTAAAATTGATTGTCTCCATTTATAAATTAACATTTTGATAATGTTAATTGTTTTTTTATTATTTTTATTTTTGATTTTGATTTAAGTGAGATCTCAGCGTAATATTTGAATTAATGAGTTTTTAGGGATTGTGAATATAATTTCTATTTTCATGTATGAGTTATTCAATCTAGACTGATTATTTTATAAACAACAAAGCAATACATGAACAAAAATGTTTTTTCTTCATAATTTGTTGTAGCATAGCTACTGCACAACTGTGTACAAAACAAACAGACACAACTTCTCCATAGCAACTTACTTGTAATAGATTCCTCACACAGTTGTTGTGGAATAGCATTTAAACAACTGCAACTGCCCCAAACAGTTCTTAAGTGTCATCCAAACCAAGTGTTATGCCATGGAATCACTTCTTGAACTCATATTGAGACAAAGTGCTACATAGTGGGAGCAACCTTTTAAATATGTAGAGGTCACATCTAGAATCCTATCTGTCTTGTGGATGACTCTGGGTCACAAAAATTGACGAGGACATCAACTACTTAAGTGGGGGAGATTGTGAAACCCCTTAAGTAGGATTAAGTTGAATTCTTAAATATTGTTACCCCTTTTGGCGTAATAGTGGAATTTTATCAAAAACTCCAAAGTTAAGCGTGCTCGCATGGGAGCACTCCTAAGATGGGTTATCTTCTGCGGAGTTACACTAACAAGACAAAACGGTGAGGTTATGAGGCCAAACCAGATAATATCTTGATGGATGAGAGTTCGGGTTATTACATATCCAATATATAGTATTTTATGATCTTGGTTTAGGGTTTAAATACACATTTAATATAAAATGTAGATTTAAAATATATTTATAATTTTTATTCTCAAAATATTTTTGACATTGTATAAATTTAGATGCAAGCAACAAATGCAATAAATATGTACTATTTGCAAGAGAACTTAATTTGTTTATTCCTTTGATTAAAAATAAGTACAATTAATGTCTAATTCTGCTGAAAAGGATTTCACCCTTTTCTTGAATTAAATGATGCAAGCTATGGACCAGGAATTGCATGCAAACAAATAAACTTTCATGCAGAGGTAAGAAAATATTTTGCTGTAGATCTAAAAAGATAACATTGTAGTTTAATCCAACAATATTAAACGAAGAGAAGAGAGAAGTTAAAGTGGAAGGCAAAGACTTCAATGATCGGTAAGTTTTAAGTTTGAAAAACGAAAAAACCCCTTTCAAAATGCATCAGTTCTCACATTTTCCTAAAGGATAGAACACTGGAAAAAGAATGATTTCCATTTGATTATTTTCTTATATGCCTTAACAAACCTATTTCTTGAATTCCTTAAAAATCAAATAAGAAAGGTAGCAACACAAAGAAATAATTATTAGAACTATAGGAGCCACCTGTTAGACGTTCAAAACCCGCAAGAAGATACTTGTAATGCCCGTCCTTGTTAGCCATGTTGTAATAGGGATTTATGGTATGGTAGCTACCAAAGAGGCACTTTAGCACATGTTCTCACGTGATGGCGAACCTCCTTATGATTGGTATGAAGTGTGAGATAAACCATATTTGATATACTTACTACAATGTTTTCTCCATATGCTTAAGTAGTCATTTCAACTTTAAGTTTCCCCTGATAATTTATTGTTATTATTCACTCTATATGAGCATCATGTTTGCCCGTGAATTGGGAAAAAGCCAACACTTATTTGCTTGTTTGCTACATAAAGTTGAAAGTTTATAATGTAGTCTCAATTCATTTAAATTTGTGCTTAGGCTGTATATTGGGAGTGAATTTATGCTCTCAACATTCTAAAAGTTTCTTTATACATACACGCCTTGAAGTAGGTGTGCTGACCGCACCTAATAATCCTACAAGAAAATAAGAGCCTTTAGTGTAGGTTTTTTGGAACTTTGAGTTTGAGTTTGCTTACTTCTTGAGGGAAGGACATGGTTCATTGATAAGAATTGATGAACATCCAGTTTTTTTTAGAAGTATGGTTGACTTCTAGCTTGTATTCTTTATTGGTCAGAGCGCTTTTCTTTATGGAACTTTTCTCCTTTCATTTTCTCGGTAAGTTTCAGTTTAAAATTTTGATCAGAATATAAATAACTTCGAGTATGGTGCAACTAGAATTTTAGAGTAAACAAAGACACATCTAAAGAAATTGTCATATGAAATTATTTTTATTTTGTTTGGATTTTTTTGTGTCATGATATTTGTGTATGTTTTTTACAGATTGATATAAAATTGACAAGGTTGTGCTTTACGTCACTAGCTCACTAAATTTGCTTTCCACGCTGCATTTTGAAGAAGTGAACTTTGAGATATATTTCTGTGCGCTTGACTTTGCTATATTAGATATCAATATAATTAAGTTTCAGTTTAATAATTTGATCAGAATATAAATAACTTCGAACATGTTGTAACTTGAATTTTCGAGTAAACAAAGACGCATCTAAAGAAATTGTGATATGAACATATTTTTCTTTTCTTTTGAATTTTTTGTGTCATGATATTTGTTTATGTTTTTTACATATTGATTTGAAATTGACAAGGTTGTGCTTTACGTTACGAGCTCACTAAATTTGCTTTCCATGCTGTATTTTGAAGAAGTGAATTTTGAGATATGTTTTCTGTGCAACTTGACTTTGCTATACTACATATCAATAGTATGCTGTTATAGTAATACATTCGAGCTGCTATAAGTCAAGGACAACCAGAAGATTTTTATCATTCCTATGTTCACCGACTTTGAAAGCATAATATTTACATCTAGAAACCATACAAAATCTTTTCATTTTTCCAAGTATGACACATGAGGTTTCTTTTGAGATTTAATCGGAACTTAATGACTAGAAAAGTAACTTTCTCATTTATACATTAAGCAGATGAATCTGACCAAACACCCTATTTTTTCTTGAGCTGATGTAATCATTGGTTTAATACTAAACATGCTTTTCTTTTCAGCAAGTTGTTGATGCAAATGTAAATTATGATGCACGGGAAGGAAGGAGCTCAGTGGAGGTATGGCTGTCCTGTTAATTCTGAATCTGATTATTAGAAACTATGATTCCATCTTAGATGAAGAAATTGCATTATCATCATCATCTTAACTATTTATTATTATTGATCTACTAGGCATTCTTTGATAGTGCTTCTTTGTTGACTTCAGCTTAGCTGAAAAATTAGATTTGTCCTACTGGCCTTTCCTTTAAAATAATTCTTACTTCCAGCTTGCATGTTTATTATGCATGCTGGTGTAATAATACTCGTATAATAGGGGTTACCCATAGAAAACATAATAGCAACAGCAACTTAGAAAAACACAGGTAGAACTGTGTTCGTAAAAGAGTAGCTTGTAACAATGCCTCCATAAACATGCTTAAATTTAAAAATTTTGCCACCGATGAATTAGGCTTTCGATATTTATAGTGAAGAAGATATCTTTTGAATCCATTATTAGTAGTAAACAGAATCTCATTATCTAAAATAGCATCATGAACAAAATCTACATAGTTTATTTGTATAAGGATTTGATGCTTGAATCCATTATTAGTAGTTGACAATCTCATTATCTAAATTAGCTTCATGAACAAGAGGTATAGAGTTGTTGGGATGAGCATTCGATGCAAATTCATGAGGAGATCAAGTAGAGAAGAATTTAAGGAGTTTGACACTAAGTTTATCAAATAGTTGAACCTAGATACATTGAAAATTGGATTAATCTTAATTTCCTTTGAAAATTTTAATATGTAGATGTTAGTTCAAATTGACTTAGAGATTTTAAAGGACTCTTATTTTTTTTAATCCAAGTTCTTTTGAGATTCCTTACGAAAGCCTTATGATTCTAAACCAAATTATCAAATTTTTTGACCTCTAAATACCACGTTTACCCATCAGAACAAAACATGATACAAATATTTTATCAATGTCTTTATAAATGTCAATAAAATAATCTAAATCATGGAAATGAAATGAAGCAATGTAAATGCAAGGGGACTAATATGCATCTAGCGCAACTATTAATGACCTATAACTTTCTTAAAAAAATAAGATGATAAATAAATGTATAGAAACTAAATTACAAAGTTATGATATGCTTATATGGATGGAAAATTTCTTTGACAAAAAACAAACACAACTTATTTAAATAATTTGTGGATAAATTATACAATTTTAAATCTCATCTTTAATTTAAGGTGGTCTCCATTAATGAATTCTTTAAAATATTAGCACAACTTAAATATCTGACTAAATTTCCTTTTATGAACTCTTATGATAATAAGCCGAGTCCTGATTATAATATTGGTTTTAGTTTGGTCACTAATTAAATAATTAATTTAGAATTGCATTTTCAAATTGCTCATTTGATTCATCAGGTACAATTGATATGATTGCCATTTCACAACCAAACATAATTTCCATTTTTATTGTGAACTCATGTTCAAATAGGATCCCTTAATTTTACTTTTAAACTTTAATTCCGGTTCTTGATTAAGCAATATTTTCAAGTTCATGAATATGATCTAATTTAGGTGTAAATTCAAATCCAAGAATATCAGAATTAGATATTATAACTGGAAGTTATATTTTGCTTCTATTGCATTTTCTAAAGAATGTTCTCGAGTTATCATTTATTTAATTTGATTAGCTTCAACCATGCTTGGTTCATGCATTTATACATCTTTTAGAAGCTTTTAAATGAAATGCTAATTAGCTTTCCTTAGGAATCTAAACAAATGCGATGACCATAACAGAAGATTTGTAACATGCTTGAACATTCAAAAATCTTGTTGAAGTCTCACATAGTATTTTTAATGTATTACATTTTGTTAATTCTTAAACTCTCACCTAAGACCTTTATTGAAGAAAGTAGTGGCAACAAAATAATCTTATCATAGCTATGAGACGTGCATTTATCTTTACAATATTTTTCAGGCTTTATTTAACTTTGAAATATTTTGCTAAAATATACTAATTTTGTTTCAACATCTTTTTTTTCTTTGGAATTAAATAAAAGATATTGTTCAAAATAATATTCCAATTTATTGATCCATCCAAAAAATTCCTTAAGATTATATCTCATATTGAATATATGAATGAATTTTGAACTTCATGATAATTATGTTGTTTATGGCCAAAACTTTAACTGGTTTTGTTTAAATTTCATCATTAATTAACTTTTTTCATTGAACCAATTAAACGCTTTACATTTAGTTGACTTTATGAAACAACTTATCTCTAATACCTATATGATGTATGACAATTTAGGGTTATGGTATCCTAAAGCAACATGAATAACAAAATGCTTGTAGTCACGCCAGAAAACTTAATATTCAAATATCACAAACCACTAAAATGCACAGACTTGCTTTCTATAGTTGCAAACTGATGAATATGATAATTAGAATTTGAACAATAATGCTATGATTGATAAATTCAAAGTTATGAATGATAAGTACTAATATGGTAAGATTAATGAGTAATTGTTATTATTTATCGTTATTAGATTTCTAGTTGCATTAAATTTGAACAAAATTACGAGCACTAGCAAGCGAATAACGATATATGCAGAAGGAGAATTAGGCATAAGAACAAGTTCACCAAAGTAAGAAGTTTACCCCTCATGATGGAATAAAGCTGTGATTTTCTCTAGTATAAAGTAGTCATGCTTGTACTATATCAGAAGGAATCACCCATCTAACTTGCTCACGTAAGTTTAATATGGAAAATAAAAGTTTCCTCAATTGACAATTTTCAATTATCTATGTCAAATCATCTTTTATTCCAATTGATCCCTAGATTAGTAGACATGGTTGCTGCAAGTTCAGCCTTGTTCTATGAAATAATACTGAAATTCAGGTTGATTTTAACCACTATTGCAAAGAAAACTTGCATTACCGATTAAAAATCATGATATAGCGGCTGTTGGTAAGAAATATTATATAAATAAACCCCGAAAGGGGCGTAACCGTGCCCTAGGAAAGGGGCAGCCCATAGAAATTACAACAATAACATTAACTAAGAAAAATGTGGAGACGGTGAACCACTAAAGCGTAGTTTGTAACTACTTCCACATCACAGTTTAATAATATTTTTTTTCCTTTTTTTTTTCACCCAACTTTTATTTTTATAACCAAAGGTGAATCAAGATAGCATCAACGCACCAGGCAAGTCCTGTGAGTGTCTTGTGTGTTCATGGTTTATTTGTTTTTATTCTATATTAGTACGCAATCAAGAAGTTGTATTCTATCCACTTACCAACCTTGGAAGATATTTATATAATGTTTGGAAAACTGATTACTTGCTGTTTTTTAGAAATTTTTATGGTAGAAATGTTTTTTTCAATCTGAACAGTTAAAATGTGTTGACTGCTAGAAAACAACGATTTAACTTTTTGGAATTAAATTAAATTTGTAATAGTCATCAAATTTTTTTGAACAGCTTACTTTGCAACAACTTTATAGCTGTTTTTCCAAACAGCTGCAGCTGCTCCAAACAGACCCTTAGCCTACCAAATTCTTAAGAATGCTCTTGTGCTTGTTTCCGACTCTTGCTCATCACAAATATGCTTTAGACATGGTCCAAGATTGTCTAGGAACCTTTGTAAATGCATTATTTTATTTACCTAAATAAGGATTCTAAGATGACTATCCGGGTAGTGGCTATTGTAGATAATTATATACTTACATTTGGTTCAACTGACAACCCAACTGACATTGCCAAACGGGATTGCTTTTCAATTCTTGGTAATGCCAGGTTATAAGTTCAACTTCATCTTGCAAGCTGAAATTCTTTTGTGGTGTATGTTATTTCTCGTGCAAGTAAGTCTACCTGATGAAGGTAGTCTTTCTGATTGTTTGTCCGTTTCTCTTAGATTAATCTTGTTGTATTTGCCAACTCAGTGCAACCAGAACATCTGATTTCCTCTCTTGTCTCAGGCTTATCTAAGGAGCTATCCTTTTGAATTCATTTATTCTGAGCATACTGATTTTTTTCCTCCATTTACCTTTCAAGTCTTGCAACATGTAAAATCTAATTGTCAGATGTAGGAGAGTTAATCTCTCTCTTTTTCTTTGCAGGTTGTAGAACAAATGGATATTGCTTTGGAGGGAAAGGCTGCATGCACAAGATTCTTAAGAATCAGTACGAATGGAACTCATAGTGTGGTCTTATGTAAACCTGTTACTGGTCGTACTCATCAGGTAATATTTAATATTTCACTAAGGTTCTTTAGGAGAGAATTCAGAGAAGAAATTATTGCGGATCCCTTCTAACAGATAATTGATAAAATTCTCCCTGTTTAACCATTCGAAAGCTACTAGGAACCCGTTTCCTACAGGAATAAATCTGGACTACTGCTGTATAAAAACATTTATTAAGGGTTCATGCAACTATGATTTCTTTTGTAATTGGTGGAAGAATTTTTGTATTAGTTGTGTCCGCCACAAATATTAGAAGATTTCTATCTAAATGATTTGATGCGTTATTTGAAGAATAATATACTCTACTTCGAGAAGTAGAAATATTACCTTAATATGGATCTAATCATTCGAATGAGGAAAATCTTTATGATTTATGGGTTTGCGTAATTAAAGAATTTTCTCCTATCTTACGCCTGTAAGATATGGTTTATTTTATTTTGTGTCTGCTATTCTTACAAGGCCAAACTCTCATTACATCCCAGGAGTTGTGGACACACAAGCATATTCTTGATTAAATTCTTGACTTATATTATGCAGTATTACAACGTTGGCGTTTTCAAATGAAAATCATTCAAGATTTGAAGAGATTTTCAATGACCAAATTTAAGGGTTTATAAAGATTTGCTTTAAATTTAACTTGAAGTCAAACAGTTAAAAACAGTCTTATGTTGATGTGTCATGGAAAGGTCTAGGAAAATGGTTAGTCAATTGTAGGAAGGTGTATCATAGGATTGGAATTATAAGATTATTGAAAGAGTTAGGTTTTAATTTGAAAGGTTGGATTTGATGGATTGATATGAAAAGTGATCTGAGTAGATTTGGTTTGAACAGGATTTGACTTGAAAAGTTTGTTTCAAGGATTTGATTTGAGTTGAAAATTTGATCTAAAGGTTGTTGGCTTGGATGTTTGGAGGTTTTAAAAGTTTTTTTGAAGGTTCTTAATGGTTATTTCATTGGTTATAAATATGGTATGAAGTTTGACAAATATTTGAAGTTCTGAAATTTAAAAGAAGGGGTTTGAAGTTTTTGGAGTTTTGAAAAGGTTGATTAGAAGTTTCAAAAAGTTCGAAATTCAAAAATTTTTGAAGTTTGAAAAGTTTGAAATTTGAAAATTTTTATTTGAGTTAAAAAGGTTTGATTTTTGTTGAAAAAATTTGATTTTAGTTGAAAATGTTTGATTTGGAAAGATTGATTTCAAGTTCTTGAATTTTAGACTAAAGGGACAAGATTGACTAGAAGGATTTGTAGATGGAAGTTCAAACCCTAACCCTAAAGTAAACCTTGATGCTATAACAAGTGTAAGTAAATGGACTAAACTATTTTCTAGATATGATGTCCTTGGTCAAGAAATCCACAACTTTCTATTTTCGTGGATTCATCCATATCTTTAGATTATTAACCAACCATAAAAACTAGACGTCTCCACTTAATACCATAGTGATGGCGAGTTTAGACCTTTTTTCTATTAGATGGTTTGAGGTGTTTTTGTCAGTAACCATGAGTTACTTTATCCCAGGGCACCTACATAGTGTAAGGAAGTTACGTGTTTGTTTCATATGTTCTAATTCTTAGCACTTATTAGGGGTACGTAGTAGTCTAACCTAAACTTCTAAACTGGATTATTTTATGCTATGATCCTGAGTTTCATTTCTAAGTTGGTCAACTTAGAGTTCACTGTTGATCTATCTAGTGGTGAACAAGGTGAATAGATTAGGATGGAAAACACTGCTACCCACATTCAACTAAAGTGGTGAACGAGATGAATAAATCATAATAAAAAATCATACAAACTCACATCTAATTTAAGAGCTAAATGATGCCTTAAAAGTGGATTATAAAGCTTTGGGCTTTCAAGGTTATCATGTGGCGTGCAATGACTAAAATTAGAGTGTCATACGGATTTTACACTAGGCTTACTTAGCCAAGATATTAACTTGCTGGTTCAGCTGTGGTGAAATGAGGTCAATGAACTGGGAGAGAATTTTGTTTTCAAATTAGGTATTCAATGGCTAAATAAGGAAATGTTCATATGAGGCTTGTTCCAAACTTGGTATTTATTTGCCAAAAGAGTCTTCTACTGAATCCAATATTTTAATAAAGTAATGAATCCTGTTGTATCAGCAAGGGCCCACAATGGGCTTAATCCAACACTCAAAAACCAAGTTGGCCTATACCACGTCCAATCCAACTAGACTAGGCACAACACTCCTAATCCTAAGGTGTTAAATGATTAAATAAAACCTTTTGCATGGACTCTACATTGTTCATACTCAGCCAAGCTGCCAGCTCTTGTCGAGATAAGGTTTAGTTGATGAAATTGATGAACCTGAGGAAGAAAAAATGAACTCATTTTGTGATGAGCTACATTGAGAAAAGAGCCTTTGGGGATTATTCTTACTTAGAATTACTAATCCGAAGCATTGGCCTACAGAGCCAGCCACACCTGACTCGAGGTCAATAAACCCGATCACATTATGATGTTACCACAAAGGGCTTTTTCCAACACTGATAGACCCTAAAGCTAATTCTGTGGAAAAGCCTGGTCAAGGCCCGACTAGGTTATCCCTTATAACTCTAAGTGCTCAATAACGGAAACCAGAAGGTAACCACATGGATTCTACACTAGCCATGCTCAGCGAAGGCGTAGAGCTACTCAAAATCGTACAAAAATTGGGGCCTATGAACTTGAGAAAGGAGTAGATTTTAAAGTCAAGTTTTTCAATAGACTATAAGTTAGAAAGGTGCACTTAATCCAATCTTGGATTTATTAGTTTAAAGTGATGAGCTGATTAAACACAAAAATTCAACATAATCGACAGAACTCTGTCGATCACCATAAGTATAATCCACAAAAGAGTTGACACGTCACTCATAACCCTAAGATGTTCAATGACTAAAACTAGATAGTAGCCACACAGACTCTATACTGGCCATACTCAGCCAAAGCACTAGCTCTTGTCGAGGCCGGTTTAGTTGGCAAAACTGATGAACCTGAGAAAGGAAAGTTAAATTTGGTTTGTGATGAGATACACCGAGAAATCAGCCGTTGAGGAATTTATCCTAACTTAGAATTACTAATTTAAAGAACTGATCTACATAATCAACCTTAACTGATTCGAGGACAATATGTGATCACATTGTGATAATGCCATAAAGCACTTGCTTTAACACCAATGGATCCCAAGAAAGGAGAGTTTTTAATTTTGATTTGCAATGGGCCACACTAAGAAATGAGTCATCGAGAGACTTATTCTTACTCAGAATCACTAACCCAAGAAGTGACTTACATAATCAATCTTGACTGAATCGAGGAAAATTTACATGATCACATTGTGATGGTTCCACAAAGGGCTTGCTCCAACACCGATGGACCACTAAGCTAAACATCTAAGAAGGTCTGAAAAAAGTCAAATTATGTCTAGAAGTTCTAACATTAAGGTGTTCAATGACTGAACTTAGAGAGTAGCCACACGAATTATACTCCAGCTAAGCTTAGCCAAGATGTAAATCTAATAAAAAATTGTACAAAAATATAGGTCTGCGAACCTGAGAATGGATAGTTTTTAAGGTTTTTCAATAACTATACTAAGATAGAAAGCACAATGACTCACAACCATCTTAGATTTATTAGGCAACACATTGGCCTACTGAGCGCATAGGGGCACAATAAGACCAATGAAAGCAAAATAGGGAAAATGTAAAAGCTTTATTTCAGGCACCTGATCATATTAAGAGGAAAGCACATGAACTCATATTTAACAGAAGAGGTGAACATGATGATTAGTTTAAAATTGAAAGTACAGAGACTCATATCTAACTTGAGAGCTAATTAAAGGGAAATACAAACTAAGGGGAAATTACATTGGAACCAAAGAAGGATTGATTTGATTGACCTAAAAACATTAGAATGAAAAACATAGCAACTCACATCTAATCTAACCAAAGAGGTGAACATGATGATTAGATCATTATAGAAACCTGAGATTTTATCGAAGGGAAAGGCAACAAGAGGGGAAGTTACGCCAGACCCAGTGAAGATTTATATGATTGCCTTGAAAACGTTAGGATGGAAAATACAGAGAATCATATCTAACCAATGATATGAACATGGTGATTGTAGAAAACACAATAACTCACTTCTAACCTAAGAACTAATCAAAGGGAAAGAAAGCCTGAAGGGTAGTTACGCCGACTTCAAAAAGATTGATTTGATTGACCCTGAACATATTTGGATGTAATGTACGGAGACTCACATCCAATTAAAGATATGAACATGATGATTAGGCCAGAATAAAAAGTATAAGAACCATATCTAATTTGAGAGCTAATTGATAGGAAAGGCAACCTGGGGGGAAGTTACGCCAGACCTAAAGAAGATAATTTGATTGGCCTGAACATACTAGGATGAAAAGCACAGAGACTCATACCTAACCAAGAGGGGAACATGGTAACTGGATCAGGATAGACAACATAGAGACCCACATCTAATCTTAGAGCTAATCAACTGGAAAGACAACCCAAAAGGAAGCATCAGATCCAAGAAAGATTGATTCGAAGTTTTGTTTGAAAATTTTAAATATTTTATTCAATGAGTTTTAGTTTTGCTTTCATTAAAAGTTTTTAACCCAATGCAACTTCAATAGTTTCACCATTCAAATTTAAAAGAGATTATTTTATAATCATCTAAACATCATCCTATTGAAAAACAAGATGCATATAACATCCTTGCATTCATTTACGTAAAAATTTGTTCTTTAAGTAAATATCACAAACTCAAATATTTTCATGAAAGAAAAAATCCACAGTAAGTTGAATATTACAATGAACTTCCAAACTTAATAAGGTCATTAGTTTCCGGTTCATTCAAAAGCGAACTTATAAACATTTATTTATAGTTGTTATAAGTTCCCAAACTTATTTTTTTCAATTCATTAATGATTGACTTAATTTATTCCTCTAGTTCATGAGGTGTCTCCCTAGCTAAGATGTCATCCAAATTATCGAAAATGTTTAAACAAACACTATCGCTTGAGTGATTATATTCCTAAAAGATCTTATCAAGTTCCGGATAGTTAGTGATGACAAAACAATATTCTTTATCATGAACTGGTCCTACAATGGCATATCCTACATCAATTCTCGATTTAGCTCATTTGCACTTAGTATCCCAATGATTTTTAAAGTGGTGTGATTGCCTCTTGAACCATGTGTGTGGTATTAGACCCTATTTTGTTAAATTAGTAACACACGAAGAGCACCAATCAAAATAGAGGTTTATTAATTCATTGCATCTTCAAATTATACATCTTATTTAAGATTTGAAAACGAGGACCCTTTATAAAACTTTTGACTCTCATAATCACCTTAACTTCCAATTTAACCTTAGTATCCGAGGATAGTGGGGTTAGAGCTAAAGTATGGACATACTTATTGATCTTTTCTTACATGGATGACTCAGACTTATCCTGATGTGGACTATTTCTTCTTCATCGTCTTCTTCTAGAAAGATCTTCTTTGGAGTTTCTAATTTCATTAAGGTGATAGACTAACCTACAGTGCATGACTCATCTTTCAAACTGAAATGTAAGTCAGTATGCATCATGGGAATTTTATCCTTTAAATTTTGTAGAGAAGTTTATGTAGTTGCCATTTGATTCTCGTCTTGTACTACTTCGTTACTTTGTATAATTCTATTATTTGCTCGTAAGTTTGAGGGGATTATTTTCCTTTTTCATTTTTTTCTTTTGCTACTATTTCTTTTTAAATCATTTCTTTGCTTCTATTTCCTTTTTAATCGTTTCTTTTGTGGCATTTTTCTTTTCTTGTTTTCTAAATTTTTAGTTGTGAGTATCTCTCTGGAAAAGGTTGTTTGCTTCTTTAGTATGTAGTCCACTGCATCTTCATAAATTCAAATTTCATGGAACAAGAATGCTTGTAGATCATCCTTAATGAAATATTTGGTGCTATCATGCCGACACTTAATGGACTGATGAAGGGAGTAGGGAACCATTCGATACTTATGAAGCCAGGGTCTCTTCAGAAGTGTGTTTAAGGTTGTCTCTTAGTCAATGATGTAAAATATGATTTCAGCATGGAAATCCTCAATTTTAAGGAGGGTTATAGAGCCTAGAGCTCTTTCACCTTTTTCATTGAATCCATGCAACATCTTGTTTGAAGAGAGTTTGCGTGCATCAAGTCAAGGTAGGCAATTGTTTTCAAATTTTTTATATTGACTGATGCACCTAGTGATGAGCATATTTCACAGGTAAAATTTACGTCTATATGAATCACATCAAAACTAGCTAACATCGACCATGTCAGATGCTATTGTCAACGCAATTTTTTTTTTAGCCGTGGTTGACACTAATTGCATTTTCGATGGTCGTTTTTACTCAGGCCATATATCTAATGCAAATATGACGCTTATACTATCTTGCATTGGTTTATTGTCATATTAATGTTAGAATTGGTCGATGTCAATGGTTATACTTGAAAAGGGAGGGAAGTTTTAAAATTTTCATTTGCGAGAGAATTTAAAAAAAATGGTGATTATGATGGTTATCTCTTAAAAAAATAACTTCATCTCATTTGATAGAGAAAAATGAGAAGAAATCAAGGGCTATTGTTCAAATCATTAAAAGGAGTGAACACACGAGTTAGAAGAATATTTATGTAGGATGATATAGTAGTGATCAAATCATTAAAAGGAGTGAACATTTTAGATATCTAGGGTCTATTGTTCAAAGTAGTGGTGATATAAATGGGGATGTTATTCGAAAAAATCAAGTTGGGTGGTTGAAGTGGAGGAATGCCTCCACCCTATTGTGTGCTAGAAAAGTACCACTTAGACTTGAACAGAAAATTTTATAAGATGGAGGTGAGACCTGTAATGCTTTATGACGCAGGATATTGGCCTATAAAAGAGAAGCATAAAACTAAGTTCAGGCATTGCTGAGATGAGAATGCTTAGGTGGATGAGTGGCGACACTTAGAGATAAAATGCTAAACCAATCTATCCGTGAAAGGGTTGGTGTAGCTCTAGTGGCAAGCAAGATTAGAGAGAGTCGTCATAGATGGTTTGGTCGTATTAAACGTCGACCATCTGATGATTCAGTTAAGAGAGTAGATGTTTTAGATTTGACTTATGTTAAGAAAGATAAATGTAAACATAAAAAAATTGTGCATGTATAAAAAATGATCTTAAGTTATTAGAATTAAATGAAAATATGACACTCAATAAAACACGATGAAGGGCACATGAAGAAAAGGATTCATGTACCCGACCCCACTTAGTGGGATAAAGGCTTATTGTTGTTGTAATTTTTATTCTATAGCTCTTTAGATACAAATGGATCTATAGTCAAAATTTGTTGGCGGATGAAGTGAATGAATGTTGAGGCATTAGTTGCTAATGACGAGTTATGTTAGTTTTGTGCATTGTATATGTACAGATCATATCTAACTGGTTATAACTAGGAAAAATAATCACATTGTTAAGCTACTAAAAATTTCATGCATGGACAGAAGGTAGTAAATGCTTAAATAAATGTAGAAATATTGGTAATTAGTGTTGACATTACTTCTTGGTCAACTTTTTTCTTTGGTTTATGTCCAATATCACCTGGGCATAGGATTTCACTCCTAGTGTCACCACATGACCAAATTGAACTCCGATAAGCTATTAATTGAACTCACCTAAACTAAAACTTGAGCCTAATCCTAATTTAATCTAAAACTAAAACTTAACTGAAGATGAATCAAAATTAAACAAATTAAAACAGAACTAAATTTATCCAACTTCAACTAAACCCAATAATTAAGCTAAAAACCAGCTTAAATCAAAATAAACACTTAAATTATCATTTTTTTTTCTGAAGAAATCAAGGTGTCAACACACGAGTTGAAGGATATTTATGTAGCACAGAAGAAGGTATCCAGTTAAATTACTCTGTTGGTGAACCATGTATCATTTTCAATGGAACAAGTAGAAAGAAAAAGGTGATAGCAATGAAGTAGAGTTTTTTGTTAGAAAGTAAAAGAGACTAACCAACATGGCCATTAAAATGTTTCATTAACCTACAGAAATGATTTTGGGGAAAATCAGTGAAGTAAAATATTAATTATCTATACAATTTGGTATTTGGCATTCATATGATATTGCATTTGTCAATATCAATTATTGTATAGAAAACGTTGAAGTTAGAATTAACTCATCAAAGTTGATATTAGTTTAAATTCTTTTCGATAAGCAATTGAATGGGGTGCTACACAAAAATAGTAATTGATGCCAAATATAGCTCAAGCAACTCCGAATCAATGTAAATCGGAGTGGTTAATCATGCTATTAAAATATCAGGAAGACACGGAACTGAATCACTTCTTTGGTGTCCCAATTTGAGGATTCTAAAAAAGTTTCAACAGATGACTGTGGTCACCACCCTTATAGTTGAATTTTTCAGACCAATGTAAAAGGCTCATTTATTACAGCACGTAATGGGTGATGTCGACTGATGGCCTCATAATTTATTGATGATAATCGGTTTGAAGTTGAGGTGGATGATCCAACTTCTACTTTTTAGTTTCTCTTATTTCAAAATAATTGAAAATTACTTAGAAAATGGGGTAAATTTAGAGATCACCAATAACTTGTAATAATGGTTATATGCATTTGAGCTTGGATATTTAAAGCCACGTCTGTATGAAATCTCAAAACGACCCTTTTTCCTTGCATTGATAAGTTGACAATGCATTCTTACTGAAACTTATAAGAATTACGGTTTTATAATGTATCGAAGGTTAATTGGAGATCGATTGGCAATCCTACCAGCCCAAAAAGTGAAGTTTTCTTGAAATGAATAGTTGTTCAAATGGAGGATGACTGACAAGTCTAGAAAATGGAGTTTTACTTGAAATAATAATGTTGTTTAAAGTAGTGGAAGCTGGCTAACAAGACCAAAAAAAATTGAATTCTACTTGAAATGACAATGATATTGAAGGTAAATGGAAGAGATGACCAACAAGCCCGAAAATGGAGTTTACATAAAAAAAGGAAAAAAATCTATTTCACTTGAATTTTCTTAACGCTTTTATATCAACTCTAAACTTCAGTAATTTTTGCGCTATCTGCAACTAAATCAAGAAAAACACGTTTTTTGAGTAATTAAGGTCTCTGTTTCTGTATCGTATAGACTGCTTGCACATTCATTCTAATTTCCTGTCCAAACAGGACCTTCGTTGAAGAGTTCTACAGTAACTTATCTTTAATATTTGTTTCTTCCTTTTTATCTGGTGATATTTACTGTATTAGTAGTAAGAGCTGGATGCTTTCAAATATTTTCCATTTAATAGTGTGCACATAATCACTTATGCAGGAACATGCAGAAATCTAAATTCTGTGTAAATTTATTATTGCAGCCTGTTTTAAAACTATATATTGAGTCTGTATCATGGGAGTAAAACTTCTGTTAAGAGTAAGAAAATTTTTTGATACCGCTTTGATCCAAATGATGCAGATACGTGTTCATCTCCAACATTGCGGGCATCCAATAGCTAATGATGATCTATACCTCTCCAAGACTGTCACACCTCGTTCTGCTCGGGGAACTGGTGCTAATAGAACAGCTTCTATTCACAAGCATCAACCGTTACTTTCTGATTCTACCATTAGCGAGAATCATAATCCAGATGCTGATCACGTAGATTTCAGTATAGATCCAATGTGCACCAACTGCCCATCTCTTTCTCCTAAAGGGTACGCACTTAGTTTCAAGTTTGATGACTAGTTTATAATCCATATTTCGTGTTATTGTGTTTAGTTGACTAGTTTTGGTGCTTTTTACCGTATCTTATCATATACTACCGTTTCTGGAAAACTATTGTAACGCATGGTAAAATAAATAAATAAATAAGAGATTACAATCAGCTTGCATCGGTTCAACTGAGTAGACTCTAGCTATTGTGTGACTATTAAGGTGGTGGAAGTGAAGGAGATGAATCCTCTATGCAACCAAAGAGACAAGCAAGGGAGAGGAAGATGAAGGGAGATCAGGAACAAGAGCGAGTGGAGAGCAAGCAGTAGCATCGAACAACAAGGTGCTTGCGTGAGATTGATCGAGTCGAAGACAGGAGGTTTAATGTGTGCAAGAGCAACAAACATCTTGTGACCTTGTGAGATTGATGAAGCTGCGATGTAGAGGCACTGTTCTGCAACCTCGTGCTAGAAGATGGGGTGGAATGCTTGCAAAGAGGATGACGATGAGGATGAGCACTTGATTTGCGGATTCTTGTCAATCGCATTTAAGGCAGTGAACATGAGAAAGGATAGTGTGGCGTGTAGATTGCAAGCAAGCTAAGGCATCAGAAGAAAAGCAAATCTATATCCTACTTAACATGTAATTCAAATTTTATTTAATAATAAAAAAATAATAACACTAAATGAAAATTTATAATGATTTAGAAAAATTTTTGTTAGGATAAATTATGTGAAAAACATTAATAATGACATTGTTCTATTTAATTTGTTATAATTTATTTATTCAATCACAAGGATTATATATTGTATTTTATATTTCTTTAAATTGATGATTCAAGATAATTATGATGAAATTAATTATGTTGATAAATTATTATAATTAAAAATAGTATTAAGTTATGAATAAATTTGAAATTAAAATATAGAAGATTTAGTTAAAATCTTAAATTAATATTTACAAGAAGTTATTTCGATGAAAATAGAAATTAATTAAATCTTAGATAAAATATAAATTTTTAGTGAAAGAAAAATACGAGTAAATAACGAAGTAAAATTAGTATTTAAAAAACAAATAAATTAAATAAACTCGTATAGAAATTTGTATAAAAATAAAGACTAGAAATTTATATATTACACCATATTAATCACTAAATAAATTTCACCCGATAAAAATAATAATAAATTATAAGAGGAGCCTAAAGAAAATAACTTAACGTAGTGTCATTGTGTATAATTAAGGCTTTTCAATTTAAGTGGAATGAAGGACAAAAGTGGAATGTTAATAATAGTTTTGCGTTTTTTCTGAAGTACTCACATTAGAATGATATTTGTCTAGATATCTTGATTTTTTAATTATGATATTTATATTCTATTATATTAATTAAATTTTTCATATAAAAATGAATATTACAGATTTGCATATTTATACTTATTTATTATAAATATTGAAATAAATAAAAAAATATAGGATGATATATAGAATGTGAATAAAATGATTTATATAGTATGCTTATATATGCATGATTGACTGATGGAGTTTACCTTCTTATAGTAATATCTATGACGCTAAGGTATCCATACATATAAACTGAAAAAGAAAATTAATATTAACATGCATGCAATTTTAGACAATACTTTTGTAATGAATGTAAATTACATAAGATAAAATATTGTATTGTACGATAAAATAGTCTGAACATTTATTAATAGTCATAATTGAATAATGAATTATCAATTATTTTTACGATGATTCATTATGTTCGACCATCATGCATGTTATTTTTTCTTATGTTATTATAATTTAGAGATATGAGTACACTGAGTTGTTGATAATTTGCTATATTTAAACTAACGAAGTTTAGGTATAAGACTTAAACTTAAAAATGGTTGAGATAAGAGAAAATATGTATCAAGGCATGGCCAACATAGTGAAAGGTAAAATCATTTTTATTTAATTTTAAAAAAAAATTAATTGTTTGACTTTAAGTTAATTTGAATTATTTTTATTAGTGATTCTTTCAATTTATTCTGATGATTATTTTGTTGGTGATAGAAAATATAATTTATATTGATTCACCGTCCGACCATCTGTTTTTACTTTGGAAATTTCAAACTCCTTTGTTGGATCGTGATGGCTATGCCTTTAGTATAAAAAATACAGTGAAGTTTTAATTATGCAAGTTTAGGCTGTAGAAAATTTTGGAGAAATTGGGCCTAAATATCAATCCTAGTTCATGAAAGGGTTTAACAATGAGTTGGTTTATTATGATCCAATCCGGTATGATTAATATGATAAATGACTTAATTTATATATCCAAAACCCTAGACCCGATTCATTTATAGCAAGGTGGAATGTATTTAGGTCGAGGTCAATTGACCCATCTAAGACATTGTTCGCTTGCGCGCTGACACAGACACGGTAAATAGCTAACCCTAAGGGCTTCATCATCAGGTAGGTATTTTTTGCATCTCATATAGAAGCCTTATTTCTTATAAATTCTATGTTTTATTGGAAAGAATTTCTCACTTTATTGTATACTCTAGTCTGTTATGTTAGTAATGGTGATACTTGTAAGCTATTTGATTGGATTTTTTGTTAGAATTAGATTGATCTTGTTTATTTTGTATGTGCATAACAACTAAGTTTTAAGTTTTGTATTCTCATGTGATAAGACTCCATTAGGGTAACGACTTTCTTCTTGTCATAGGAGTTTGAGGTACAGGCATGTCGTGGGTCATGGATTGGATCTAACTTAACCCAAAGCCCCTAACCCTTACCCGATCTGAACTTTAGTCTGATCTGAAACTTATTTGATTTGATTTGGATCCCATTCCACCCAATATGACCGTTATATAACTTCTTTCCTGAAATGGAAAGCTAGTCCATTTGTTTGTAGGATTGCGTCTATTTCAATAAACAATTGAAGATTCACATAATTAGAAAAACAAATATTACTATATTTCATTTTGAATGAATATATTGATTGAACAATATTTCAGTAATTAAGCTTATTTTCTAAAATGACGCGGAGTGTTGTCAGTAGGGTGATTATGGAGAGACTCTTCAAACTTTAGAACTGAAGTATGGTATTTGATCAAATGGAGGAAGAGAATTGTCAAAGTTACCCTAATGCTTGCATGAATGGTGAATATTTTTTTCTTGATTAATTGTCAAGACAATTGTCAAGTTCTACCGTATCTTTTTCTATTGCAGTTTTATGTTTTAGTCTTGGGACATTTATATGCATACCACCCAATTCCTATGTATTTACATGTCTAACAGTAAAACTTTGCTTGTTTGCATTTATACCAACCAAACTTTTCATGTCACCTTAAAAATAACACTTTTTGACTTTTAAAAAGTGAAATACATCCTTTCCTGCTTAGGAAAGGGGTGTACATGTAAAAATTGAAGATTAGGTGTTATATATGTAAATACATAGGAAATGAGTGGTATGTATGTAAATATTATTTTAATGTATTACCAAATGTTAGAACTATTACTACTGGGTGATGTTTGCAGCTATGGTGGAGATGAGGAAGGCCTTTGGCTTCATTGCTTGCGATACTCAGGGCCTAACTGGAGCTATGAATGTCCTAGTCCTGATTGGGCTGTTCTAAGTTAACAAATTGTTAGAAATCCCTTCAATTCTTTCCTTAATTTTAAGCTGCAGTGCAGGTAGATCAAATTTGATTTATCAATTCTGCTGCTGCAGGTGAACTCGGATGTTCTAATCCTCTCTCTGCTGCTTCTCATGGAACTAACTACAGAAAAACTGGGCTTAGGATCAAATTTGAAGCTACAAGTCTACAGAAGCCTGCACCGGTGCTTGTGGTAATTTAATATTGACAAATTATCTATGATAAAATCATGCTATTTATTTGAACATTTTTTTTTTATTAAAAATGAGCTCGAAAAGTAAATTGTTATAGAAATCTGTTATAATTAAGAAAAAATTATGGCAGTCATGACTTGAAACAATAGAGGTGGGCATTCAGTCTATCAAATTATTGCCACCAAAATCCGGAAAATCAAAACAATTAAAATTTTGATAGAATTGAAATAGCGATTCAAAATTTAATTTGATCTAAATGATTTGATTATAAACAAATAAAAAAATTAATTATTTGGAGTTTAACTATAAATAAATATTAAAAATTATATCTTATTTGTATGATATTAATTAAATTTCATTAAAATTTTATTTAATTTTTTTTTTTTTTTTGGGTTTTTGTTAAATAAAAGGTAAAACTCAATAAGTGGTTTGAATATTAAGGATTTAAAAATAAAAATTTGAAATGTATTTTTCAAATTAAATTAAATCAATCTAAAATATTGTATATAAAAAATGTGACATCATCTCAAGGAGAGCCAATGATTATAAGAGCACAAAAAATGAGGGTAATTGACAGAAGAGTAGGGGCCCGCAAGCCGATCGAGTCAGGAAAATGATGAGTTTGAAATTATTGGATTAAAATAAGATAGATAAACATTCAAGCTTACCATTACAAGATTTTTTAGCAAAGGCATTGACCTATTTTATAGTAAACATGGTTCGGACAAATAGAGTTTAATTTCTCAATATCATCAGTTGTCTCATGGACGCCCCCCAGGCTCTTCATTATGGACCATGAATTGGCCCATAATAGAGCTTTGCGATTACAATGATTGAATGAGCTATCTATTGGGTTACAGTGATTCATCATCTGCTTGATAACCTAGTCCCGCTCTACGGACGTGAGCTCCTCATACAGGGAAACAAGGGTTGATACCCAAGCTAAATCAACTGATTGACAAAGTCTTACAAACTAAGTTAATTATGTCAACCCAAAGCTAATCAAGCCTAATGGACTGGCTATTCTGACTCAGCCTACCTGACCGAATCGGCCTTACCAAGTTGAAGCCAAACAAGCTTTGTTGATCAAGTCAAATAGCAACCGAGTAATATGCTCTTATATGTAAAATATCTAGAATATCTTGTACATATCAAAATAAAACAGAGGTAGAAAAATAGTATCACTATATTATACCGCCTTCCATGTAAATAGGGAAATCATTTTATGAGAAAAGACTAATAGACATTATTTTTTTTCTCTCTCTCTCTCTCTCTCTCTCTCTCTCTCTCTCTCTCTCTCTCTCTCTCTCTCTTATTTCTTACGCTAACCCTTGGGGTGCGATTCAATGACAATTCAAGAGTCGACATTACAAAGTGTCGTGAGCATGGATCATATCATAGAAAAGAGGAGGGGTAACACATGGAAAAAAAAACTCATAATAGAGACAGGAAGCATTGAGTGCACTAAAGAGTTGGTGAACCAACAAATCCAAGAATTGAAGGATCGGATGTTGCATGCCATGCGATGGGCATTGGCTTGGGAAAGGGAGTAGTATCCCTGAGAGAAAGGGTTGAAGCCCAAGTGTTGATGAGCCCCTAACTTTGAATAGAGAAAGAGACACTTGATACTTTGAAAATTTGATAGTTTTGGGCTGGCACAAATCACCAGGCATCAATTCAGGCATATTAAAGTCGCATCAGCCAGAGAATGTGTTCTCTCGGAAAACATATGAGTTAGACCCCTAGACAGGTTCAAGATCCCAAGTTTGGAATTCTATAAGGGCGAATTTGATCCAATTGACCACATAGCCGCTTTCAAGTTGAATGTTTGAAGTGTCATCTTTTCTTCACCACGTTGAGAGATCCGACCCTCAAGTTGTTCAATGCATTGTCGTCAAGGGTAATGGATTCATTACAAGATGATTGTTGGTTGCCTCGTTGAGGACAAGTCTCTTCTAAATCAACCTCCTATAAAAAAATTGTCTCCTAAATTTCGACTAGGTAATAAAATCCACCTCGGCCTGAGCCCGCTATACAAGTTAATCCTCACAGACATCTGACATATCCAAATGGAGGTCTACTATCTCCTCCCCCATCTTCTTCATTTGAGCTAACATCTTGCACATCTTCTCCTATTGTTGGATCTCGCCCGCTCAAGCAAAGAATTATCGACCTCATTCAGGCGCTAGGATAATGATTTGTGAGACATCTGACGTCCATTAGTTGTTTCCCCACAAACTGCACGGATATTTTCCAGATGGTCGACCCCACCATCCTCGCTCTTGGTTGGTACCTGGGCTACCACTACTGAAGTTGTGGTTGGGTCCTAACCAACATGTGTCGAAGACGAGTCATATCCCAAGTCGATCAGATTAGTTGCACCAAGAAATAATGTAAAAAGGATGAAACATAAAAAACCAAAGCATAAAATGCAAGGCTAATGCCCTTCATTCCAAGTAGTCAATCCAACTTAGTCCCCGTAATCAACATGGTGCACCCATCAAGAGTTGACACAGAACCTACAACCTATTGTGTTATCGGTGGTGGCAGAACATAACTAGCTTCCTCCGCGGTTGTTCAATCGGCTGGTCCCAAGCTGCGGTAGAAGGTTGAACCGATAGATCAACACTCGGATCGCCTAATCTGCTTCCATCATCTGCTTGGTTTTTCTTCACTCGAGGACCATGAAATTAATCAGAAGACCTCAGTTGATCCACCAGCTCATCTGTTTTTCGCTTCTTGGTAGCCACTTTCTTCTTCTTTTCTCACTTTTTGGGTGGTGTCACACCATCTGCTTCCCAAAGGCGGCAAGAAGTATTTCGCTGCTTGGGAGCTCATCTGGAGGGTTGGAGACGTTCTCCATGAAGATGCTTGGAAGCTGACAAATTCACAAAAAGAGTTACTTGAGGAAATATGGAATATTAAGGGTCATATCACACCCTATTTATAAGTATCATAAGTGTGGAATCCTAGGGAGTTCAAATATTGAAGCACCGATTATGAAATAAATGATACCTTTTTTTTCGCTGCTTGGGAGCTCATCTGGAGGGTTGAAGACGTTCTCCATGAAGATGCTTGAAAGCTGACAAATTCACAAAAAGAGTTACTTGAGGAAATATGGAATATTAAGGGTCATATCACACCTTATTTATAAGTATCATAAGTGTGGAAGCCTGGGGAGTTCAAATATTGAAGCACCGATTATGAAATAAATGATACCTTTTTTTTCGCTGCTTGGGAGCTCATCTGGAGGGTTGGAGACGTTCTCCATGAAGATGCTTGGAAGCTGACAAATTCACAAAAGGAGTTACTTGAGGAAATATGGAATATTAAGGGTCATATCACACCCTATTTATAAGTATCATAAGTGTGGAAGCCTGGGGAGTTCAAATATTGAAGCACCGATTATGAAATAAATGATATCT